AAATACTGTATGGATATAGAATCATAGAGAGGAACACCCACATGGCTTAGAATTCTAAATATCTCATGTATGAGATTTCTTAAGTTTTTTCTGTGCCTGCCAAATACCAGCGGGTGAAGAACGCCTTCAGTGTCATTTTGGCATTTCCAGCACCCTGCATAGCTTGGTAGGATCCCTTATCCTGACAGGTTATAGTAATCCAAGATTTTCTTGCAGAAAAAGCCTATTCTATTCTTATTGTTAAACATTAATTTTAAGAGTTATTGTAGTAGAACTGAACATATAGAAACACTTTTGTTCCCACATATATGGACAAGTTTCTCTATAGATAAATTAGGCATAATGCAACTTGCTCCTTCCTGTATGTGGCAAGATGGGAGAATTCTTACACTTAGTAATACTAAACTATTTTCCAGGCATCATGGTAATCACTTTGTCTTGCAATATTTTATTTAACCCTAACAAGACTCTGTGAGGTATTATCTACTTTTTTCAAATGAGGATATGAAACTCAGAGAAGTTAAACAATTTACCATTTACAGTGCTGGTAAATGGTGATGCAATATTTGATTCTGAAACCTGGATTTTTACTACTCTACTTTGACCGTCTAGGAAAAAGATGGAAATGTTCTGAAATCATTAGATTGCTTCCAAGTTCTTCAGCAACTGAAACCACACTTTTGTGCCTTTCTCCTTGACCCCTACACCTCATGCTCCAGTAATGCAGACTACTTGTAATTCTTCTAAAGTCCTATTGTCTCAAGTTTCTGGATTTTCTTTATGTTTTCTTGGCTTAAAATTTTGTTATCCCACTACTACCCGAGTAGCTGGCCTACCCCTACCATCTTTTCAAATCTCAGTTTAACCTATTCTACTATATTTCCATTACTTTTTTTTAAATCATTTTTTTTATTTTTCAAACATAGTTGACATACAATATTATATTAGTTTCAGGTGTATACCCGAGTGATTAAACATTATATAATTTACTAGGTGATTATCCTGATAAATCTAGTATGCATCTGACACCATATTTCCTATGCTTTACATTCTGTTTATTACATTATTCTAAATTAATATTCTAGATTAATTATGTAAGTTATTCTGTTACAACCAATTTGTACTTCTTAATACCTTCACCTTTTACACCCATCCCCCCAACAGCCTTCCTTCCGACAACTTTCAAAATGTTCTCTGAATCTATGAATCTGTTTCTGTTCTGCTTCTTTATTTTGTTTTTTTAGATTCATTTATTGATAGATATGTATGTATTGCCATTTTATTGTTCTTACTTTTGGTCTTTTTTTCCCTTCTTAAAGAAGACCCTTTAACATTTTATGTAATACTTCTTGGGTGGTGATGAATTCCTTTAGCTTTTCCTTGTCTGGGAAGCTCTCTGTTTTTCAATTGTAAAGGATAGCTTTGCTGGGTAGAGTAATCTTAGTTGCAGGTCCTTACTTTTCATCACTTTGTATATTTCTTGCCAGTCCCTTCTGGCCAGCAAAGTTTCTGTTGAGAAATCAGCTGACAGTCTTATGGGAGCTCCCTTGTAAGTAACTAACTGCTTTTCTCTTGCTGCTTAAGATTCTCTCTTTGGGGCCCTTGCCAAGTAGCTCAGTATGTTAGAGCATTATCTCTATACACCAAAGTTGTGGGTTTGATCCTCAGTCAAGGCATATATAAGAATCAACATATGAATGCATAAATAAGTGGAACAACAAATCAATTTTTCTGTCTTTCCTTCTCCTTTCCTCTCTTTCTAAAAGTAATAAAAATTTTAAAAATTCCCTCTTTGTCTTTAACCTTTTGCATTTTAATTATAATGTGTCTTGGTATGGGCCTCTTTGTGTTCACATTGTTTGACATTGTGCTGCCTGGACGTCTATGTCTATTTCCTTCACCTGGTCAGGGAAGTTTTCTGTCATTATTTTTTCAGATAGGCTTTCAGTTTATTGCTCTGCCTTCTCCTTCAGACAGCCTCATGATGCAAATGCTGGTACACCAGAAGTTGTCCCAGAGGCCCTTTACCTTACCTTGATTTCTTTGTTCTCATTGGGTGTTTTTTGTTTTCTTCTATTCCACATTACCAATTTGATTATTGCCTTCATCTGCTGTACTGCGAACTCCCTGTAAATTATTCTTGATTATAGGTAATGTATCCTTTGTTTCTGAGTGGTTCTTTTTTATGGTTTCCATGGCACTTTTTATGGTTTTCATGTCCCTTTTTATGCCATTGAAATTCTAAGTTCTTTGAGCATCCTTATACCCAGTGTTTTGAAATCTTCATTTTCTAGATTGCTTGTCTCCAGTCTGTCCTTTTTCTAGAGTTTTGTTCGTTCTTTCTTTTGGGACATCTTTCTTTGTCTCCTTGTTTTGGCAGCCTACCTGTGTTTGTTTCTATGTATTAGGTAGAGCTACTTTCTCTCCTGGGCTTTGTAGTGTGGCCTAATGTAGTAGGTGTCCTGCAGGGTCCAGTAGCACAATTTTCCTGTTCACCTGAGCTGGGCAATCCAGGTGAACCCTCCACCTCATGTGGGCTGTGTACACCTTCCTGTTGTAGTTGAGCAGTGATCACTGTTGGCATGTCAGTGGGAGGCATTTAGTTTCAGGCCAATTGGCTACAAGAACCAGCTGCAACCTCCTGTGACCACAGTGGAAGATCAGCTCTGTAGGCACCAGCCCCACAGAGCAAGCCTTACTTACTTCAGCAGGGCTCTGGTACTCGCTGAGTTCACCCCTTGATTGTGTCATTTGCAGAGGTGGATGGGTGGTGCTTCAACATGTTCTGAAGCTGTCCACTGAATGCACTGGTTCTGGTGCACACTAAGGTCAGCTGCCACCCATGCCCTACTTAAGATATCCTCTCCCCAACCCCGTTTACTTATGCTGCCATCTAGGCCATAGTTCCATTAATCTTCATATACTCATTATGGCAAGGATCTTATTGTGTCAGCACCTAAATTGTGAGCAACTTGAGGGACTCTTTTTTTCTTTTTTCCAGTGTTGTAGTTCCAGGGCCTTTCAATGTATCTGCTGCCCAGTAGGTATTCAATTAAATCTTTATAGAATGAATACATGAAAGAATGCATAAATGGCTTATAAATTGATGTACAGAACTCATTAGAAATATGTGGAAGGATCTATACTACTTTATTACACACAAGTTACTTGAAATAAAACTTCTCATCCTCTTATTTTAAAACTTTTCAACATATCCTAATTTTTCTCTAGAATAAAGTATGTTGGACACAGTAGTAGTTCAATATATATTTGCTGAATTAGTGAAGTCTCAGAAAAGTATACAAGTTCTCTTATATACTTTTGTAGGATGTATTCTTCTCTCCAGACTTACTTTGTGCCACTCCTCCTTCATCCTGTAATAATGAGTAACAGTATGTAATTTTTATTCATGTATCAAATATTTATTGAGTCACTATTAGGTGTCAAGCACATTGGTTTGTTGTTTCAAATAGCCTTGTTCTTTTTCTTGCTATTCCTTCTTTCTGAAAATTTATGCGGATATTCAGCAAATACATTTACTGTGATTTTCCTGCCTTCCTTCCTTCAGTTTAGTTACCTTCTCTAAAAGGGTGCCCCCTCCCTTCAGCATCATGTGCTTGCCCCCATTTATTAGCCCTAGTTACATCAAAGTAAGCTGTATCCGAGTTTGTCATCCCCCATACTCCCATCCCTATCCCACAATCCCTGAGTGTGCTCTCAGAGGGCAGGAATTAAGGTTTTGTTCACCCAGGGCCCAGCACAAAGTTTAGGACAGGGCCAAAGTCTTACATGTCAGTACTGGAATGAAGACTAACTACTCTGTTAACGTGGGTGATTACCTTGAATTCTCATATTAACAGATGAGTTTAGAATTATCTTCATGCTATAGATGAGAAAACCAGGCTTGAAAAGGTTTGGGAATTTAAGATTACAGTGGTGGAGTTTGCTGTCATAGGAATCTGACGAAGTCACCATTCATTCTAAGTAAGACTTTTATCCATCATCTTTTCTTGAAGCTGTCTTCAAGGCTTTTCAGGTTTTCCTTCTCAAGATCATACGATGTCTCATCTACTGTAATATAATGAGTGGGGGAAATATCCCTTTTTATCATATTGGAAATTTTTCAGACATCTCTCTAGAAGGAGCATGATTTTATTTTATTTTTAATTTAATTTTTTAAAATTTAAAACATTTATTTATTTATTTATTTATTTATTTATTTATTTATTAATTTAGAGAGGGTAAGGGAGGGAGAAAGAGAGGGAGAGAAACATCAATGTGTGATTGACTCTTGCACGCCCCCAACTGGGGACCCAGCTGACAACCCAGGCATGTGCCCTGACCGGTGACCCCTTGGTTCACAGGTCAGTATTCCATCCACTGAGTCACACTAACCAGGACAGGAATTAAACTTGTTGAAGTCACACTCTTTCTGGAGTAGAATCTGCTTTCGAACCCTGGGGTCAATAATAAGTCTACTGAGAAGACAGGTCACTCAAAATGGAATGCGGGGACTGACAAAAGAGTTTTTCTAAGGGCATTCTACACAACGGGAAGACTTTAGCAGGTGGAGAATGGACCCTCTCATGCACAAATCCTAGGACTTGTGGGAAATTGGTTACTTAATCCTAAAGCAGCTGTGGGGAAACTGTACCGCCCACAGATAAAATTAATAACATCTCCTTTGGATGTGTCTGTTCTCTTTGCTCGTTAGTATTTTCAACGAGGGTTATAGTAAATAAAACTTAGTGTAAGTTGGTGCCTTCCTACCAAGATGGTAAAGTAGGAAGTTGACACATTTTATAAGCCTTCAAAGGGTCAAATTCTTTCTTGCCCTTAACCAAAATGGTCATAGAGCTTTGCCTCATCGTTTGAAGCTTCCGGCCCTTAACTAACATGGCGTCGGGAGTTAAAAATTAGTTTGCCCTCTTTTCTGCCCCTGACCATCATGGCTTCCACGGCGTCGATCACGTGACGTCTCCGCACTACGGCGCGGGAGAGGGGTTAGGAGGACCCTTGAAGGGTGCGCGTTCCCGTGGCTGTGCACCCGGTAGGTTTCAGTCAGAGTCACTATGGCGGCTGGCGCTGGCAAGGTTAGGTGAGGCGGCGGCAAGGAAAACTGGACCTGTCGTGGCGTCCGGACTTCAAATTCCCGCAGCCCGTCCGCGGAGAGGTCAGCCGAGTTTGCGGCCAATAGTGAGGGCTGGTGGGGGTGTGGGTTGAGGGGGGCGAAAGCTGAGGCGGGCGGGCACCGGCGCTTGACGGCCGTTTGTTTTGGTGTTTCCTTACCAGGTCGGAAAGTTTCCTGCCTCGCCTGGCAAAGCCTGAGTGTGTCCCACCCGCCAAGAGTGGTGGAGGCTGGGACGGACTCAGCCCGGGGCCTCCAGGCCTCTCCCCGAACCTCTGGGCCAGCCTCCCTCCCCCACTGCTTCGTCCGCCTGGAGCTGGGGCTGCTGCTCCTGAGATGCGACCCTCGCGGGGGCGACCCTGAGAAGAGGCGGCCGATGTGCTGACCAGTAGCCAAGAGCCCAGGCGTCCAGGGATCAACTTCCTGCGGGCGGAGACCCCCGAGTCTCCCCGGGGTCGCGCCTAGCTCGTTCAGCACCGGCCTGCGAAGCCGGATCCCCGCCCTGGTCCCGGGCACGCCCGCCAGGTGCCCGGGAGTCCCTAGTCGGCCGCTCCCCGCGCCCCTGCGGTTCCCTGCACCCCGTGCCAAGGACCCCAGCCACCGGCGCCTCGGCTTGTGCCAGCCGGAGATCCCGTGGCACCTCCCGGCGGCCTCCGCGCATCTGGGGCAATGCAGACTGTCCCGCTGGCTGTCTAGACCCCCTCGGACCCCTCTGACCCTTCCACTTCCGAGGCCCTAGAGGACGGGTGGTGGCTGCCGGCTACACCTCCCTTCGCCCCGAAAGGACCTTCTTGGCCGCATCGAACCGACCCTTCCTTCATGCTGCAGTGCTGCAACATTTCCGCCACCGAGGGGGAAAAGCGGCAGCGATCCCAAACAAAACACAAGAATTGGTGTGTGACTCATCTGCTTGGATACCTCCAGTTCCCAAACCGTCTTCCAGGAGTTTTCTTGGCTGAAGCTGTCCGATGTTTGAGCCTTGTCTTCCCAGGGAAGAAGATGGACTGAAAGCTGGCATTTGGGGACTTTTTTTGATCAGGGCGCTTCTGGTCTTTAAAGAAGGTGATGGGGCTTGCACTGGCTTGTCTTCCCACTCAAGTGAAGAGTTGTTGATGTTCACTGGTTATGCTTAGACAATGCGCAGTTTGTTTTAATATAAAATTTTGGGGGGGATAGGGGTATAGGCTTGTGAAGGGCAGTCCGGATCCGGTGGAACTCCTCTTTGTCCCTTGATAGGAGAGACACCCCCAGTCTGTCCTCCATGCCGTCAGCCTTGGCCATCTTCACTTGCCGCCCGAACTCGCACCCGTTTCAGGAGCGTCATGTCTACCTGGACGAGCCCATTAAAATCGGCCGCTCCGTGGCCCGCTGTCGACCCGCGCAGAATAATGCTACCTTTGATTGCAAAGTGCTGTCAAGGAACCATGCTCTCGTCTGGTTTGATCACAAGACGGGCAAGGTAAAGTCACCACGTTGTTTAACAATCATTTCTTTTTGTTTCCGTTTGCTCTTTTTGCATAATGTATGCCGGATCCCAGGGTTTGCACTACATGAGACTTTCAGCAAGGCCACGGAATCAACTTTTTGTGTGTCTGGTTCCAGTGGAAATTTAATTGAGGTGGTTGAATGGAAAACAGAGAAGGTATTGTAATTAAATGTCTCGGAAGGGCGATGGCATCTTGATAATGTGGTCATTCCCAGTGAAATCCCAAACCCTAATTCGTTTAGGAAAACTAGTGAAGCTTGGCTTCTTGCTTTCAGTCTTTTTAGAAAGGTGTATTTGCAGTTCAGAGTTTGATTAGGCAAGCAGCAGTTCCCAAAGCAATGCGGGGAATCTGTGGCCATTATTATACTGGGTCTCAAGTGTCTGGTGAGATGTAGTTAACAGGTAGCTTTTAGTGGAGTTCAGATCAGGCCTGTCTAGTAAGGGCCATGGTTTGTGTAAAGTTGAAAGATCTGATACATACATACCCATGAAGGAGTGATTTGCAGTTATCAAAGCCAATTTAATTAGGCATGAGTACATTTTCACAGTTTTGTTTGCAAGCTGAGTGAACATATACCTATGTTCACATGTACCTACGTTCACTCGCAAACAAAACTTTTTGATGTTGCCTGCAGCACTTACTAAAACTACTTTATGCATACTTACACAGGTGATATTTAAAAATCAGTGTTAGGAAATTAATTTATTTTCCGAAATTATATTCAATTCTATCAATTATTGCATTACGTAGATGCAATAGGAGGAATTCAGTGCTCTTTAAGTGTGATCATTTTATCATTTTTATGTTGGCACCCTGATTTACTCTACATGTGGGTGCTTATATTTTTAAGAATACAAGGAAAACAATAAAGACCCTTTCAGTTTTTAAAACTATGTGTGTGGAGAATATGCTAAAGAGCTCATCTTTGTGCTTAAACCTTGGGTTTTAGTTGAGCTATGGAATCAATTCCAACTTAGAGCAAGTTATGTAAGACTAATAAGAATATCTCAGATTTCACCTCCTGACTTTTGCGCCCTCTTTTTGAGTTAAATGATTAAGTCTTTTTTAAAAGAAGAATTTAAGTCTTCAAGAGTAGTGTTTTGGGGGGGAAAAAGAAGAAGAAACCTGAGCCTCAAAAAGAAGAAAGTAATACTCTGTTGCTACTGAATTAAAGAATTATTATATAAATCATTCTTCAAAGAAAGGAGGAAAAGATTGCCCAAGTGCTCTGTGCTTGCATAATATCTGTATCCTATTCTGTGTGTAAGATGAGAAATGGCAAGTATGTTTTTCCATATAATAGCACATGCTCATTTACCTGTTAACAGACACTTTTTTTCCCTCCCTGGAAACTAAAGTTTGGGTGCCCAAAAGATTTCATAGATTACCCATAATAACTTAAAGTGAATATTCATAGAACTCATCTTTCCATCAATCATATTTAAACATCAATTAACTGCTATGGTGCCTTAACTCAACCATTTTCACATGTTTGCCTGTTATGTCCCTGGGCAACAGTTACAATCCAGCTTAATCAGATTACAGGTTTGCTTAAAGTACATACTCTGTAAATGCACATTTTTTACTTTGATTCAGTACTCAAAGGATATTCAGATTTTTTTCCTTTTGCTTATTTGCAGAACAGTGATTACATGAACTGTGCTTTTCATGGTTATACTAAAACCCCCACAATTGGTTATTTTAAGATGACTAAGACCAGATCAATAGTGAATGTTTGTTGTATAAATTGTGATGGCATGTTAAAATTTTTAATGAAATTTGTTATTAGACAGACATCTTTAAAGGGTACACAACTTATTTCTCCCATTTTTCCTTTTTATTTCTGCTTTCTTAAACACTCAGAATATGAGGCCACTACTTTAGGTGTAGATATAATTGTTGGCTATTGAACCACCTAATCTAGTTAAAACAAATAACCTGTCAGATTTTGCCATGTGATCAAATTATTTTAGGAATTAACTATTTAAAATTTAAAATTGAACAAACTGGTTTTTATTGAGCATCTGTTTTTGAGGTACACAGTTCCAAAGAAGACTCACAGTTTGGCCAAATATTATTTATTGTTTTCTCTGTGAAATTACCAGTTTGAGGATTTCTGCTGTAATTGTCTAATAACAAAAGTCCCTGGGCTATTCCCAGCAAATTCTTTTGTACTGCTCAAGAATCCCCTCCCTCTGCAAGCATCTCCTCAGGCAAGTTTTTTTCCAAACATCTGTGAGCCTCAGTTTTTCTCTTCTGGGGATAACAATGGTACTTACTTTTGTTTGATGATTGAGATAATCATATAAATCACTTAACACCCCTTTCCTAGGCCTTATTAAGGGCTCAGTACTTAGGGAGGAGGGTGTTTGGAGTCAGGGGAAGAGGAACCATCTAGGCAGCTCTTTGCAATTTGTTGTAGTGCTGCGGAGTCTTAGAAGGTAATGAGAAATATTTTTTCACATGTTGGTTGGCATATGTAGAAGTAATTTTTAAAATTAGAACATTCGAAGTTGAAAGCTTTGTCCAAATTTGCACTTTACCTGGGAGGTGGCAAGTTGAGGTAATAGGCCCTTTGGTTGAATTTCATTTGTGATTATTGTGTTCTGCATTGGACATTATGGGAGGCCCATTAAAATCTGGAAGAAATAATAAAAATTTGAAACTTTCTGATTTTTCAAGGAATACATGTTCATTATAGAAAATTTTTGAAATGTGGGCACATGAAAATAAATGTAGGTGACACTTTTTTTTTTAAAGATTTTATTTATTTCTAGAGTGGGGGAAAGGGAGGAAAAAAGGGAGAGAAACATGATGTGAGAGAGAAACACTGATTGGTTGCCTCTCACTCTTGCCTCAAATGGGAGACTGAACCTGTAACCGTTTGTTTGTGGGACAGCGCCCAACCAACTAAGCCACACTGGTCAGTGCTGGGTGAAACTTTTTAATACTAAGTTTATGGAATATGTTACGGTACTTAAAATCTGCATGTTATACGGTGACTTTTTTTCTTTCTTTTTTTTTTTAAGCAAGAGAGAGAATATGAGGAGGAGGAAGGGAGAGAAAGAGACATTTATTTGTTATTCCACTTATTTATGCATTCATTGGTTGATTCTTATAGGAGGGGAGGCCCACAAAAACCAGGAATTTATTTATACAAAATTGTATATTTATTCTTACATGTTTAAACTTCAGTCACCTTCAACTACCCTCTGTTTGATGCAATACACCTATTGAGGGGTTCTTTCCACTGCTCAAAACAGTTTTTGAACTTGTTGATTTTGGTGCTTTTAGTGCTTCTGACATTTTTTGTTTCACCTCTTCCACATTGGCAAAGCATTTCCCTTTGAGGACTTTTTTCATACAGGGAAACAAAATTGGGGTGAGATCAGCTGAATAGGGTAGGCGGGACATGGGGGGGTCATGCCGTTTTTTTGGTCAAAATCTGCTGAACACGCAAAAAGGTGTGCACAGGTGTGCTCGTAAATCACCCATCATGAAATGGGCAAATGTATTGAAAGAGTCTCCAAAAAAAATTCACTGAAACCCAATGCAACCTCTCAAAACAATGCCGATTGGTACACTGATACAGAGGGGTTCCTAGAACATTTATCTAGCAGGGGAAGCCTGTACTACCACAGGCCTACCCTCCAGAAGATAATTCCAGGTTGTTTTGGCTCTCCCTTTGTATGTTCCCTGACGAGGGATCAAACTGGCAACCTTGGTGTATTGGGATGATGCTCCAACCAACTGAGCTACCTGGCCAGAGCCAGGGTGATGGATTTACCACAAAGTAGATTTTAATAAGCTTTCCCAAATTATCTACTAGAGGATATTGAGGTAGTAGTTGGATATTGCCCTGCTTGGATGCTGGCCCTGTGTATCATCCTTTTTGGAGGTCAAGCTTTTCAAGTTAGATATTAGATAGTAGAATGGTTATTAATCTCTCTATTGACTCAAGGTACCACTGAAAAGCAAATCTATCCATATGTTGATTACAGAGAAAGGATAGTGAGTGGACAACCTCCATGATTTGGATGGCCCCACCTGGTTTGAGGCTTTGTGAGGAGGTGATAGTCTAGTGGTCGGCACAGTATGAAGTCTATTTCTAGTCTTATTGTAGTAGTAGTAATAGTTGTTTACTTCCAGTTTCACTTTTTTACTTAAACTCAGCACATACTTTTGAGCACCTGTTCCAGCATGATCTATTTTAGTGGAGGGGATGGTGAAGGGGAAGGAAATGGCAAGAACTGTAAGAAATTGTTATTTCTTCTTTTTAGGCGCTTACATTTTAGAAGGGGTGACTATACACCTTGAGAACAGTTAATTGAGATAAGGTAGTAGTATATAAGTGTAAATGTCAAGAGAGTGATAGTTGTTTGAATTGGACTTGAAAGGGTGGATAGATACAAGTTAAGGAAAAGTGCTTTCTGGGTTGTTTTTGTGTGAATTGAGGGGATGAGAGTGGAATAAAATAGATAAAAGCAGATAATTTTAATGAATTTGGCATCTTCCAAGCAAACACTGTGAATATGAATTTTGTTGGATCGTAGAGTTCTTTTGGAGAGCAGATATAGTGAATATCCATTCTCTGTGATGATTTTATGTTTGTGCCTTGTTTTTGTAATTAGTTGTCAGACCCTGGAAGAGAGGATCTCTGCCTTATATGTCTGTTTCCTTTTATTTTGTATAAAGTAGATGTTGGGTAACTGAAGCTGAGTAGATAGTGTGGTACCAGGTTGTGGAGTACCTTGATTACCAAACTAAGGACATGGACCCGTAGGCCATCGAAAGCCAAGGAGAGTTCTGTGCAGAGTACTGACATACCAAAACCAATTAAGAGTGATACAACAATATGTAGAGGGGCCTGGAGCAAGGGAAAATGAGTAACAACTTAACTAATGCTTGTGGTGTACTACATACCATGCTCTGTTCTAACTGTGTTACATGTTAATCTAATCCTTAAATAGAT